CTGTCAAGGGAAGCCATAGTTAATGTCACTAAATGGAACCGCTCAGTGGCAAAATTAGTATTAAGCTTTTTTTTTTGCTAGTGTATGCTTGTTGAGTATCAGTTGGCTCAATAATAATTTGTGAATAAAATCCAACTCTGACAATCAGCATCAGTATCTCATATCACTATAATAGGGTTTAGATTTTTGCAAAAATAAGTGAGGTTTGGTTATGCTGGTTATAGCTATTTCTGAAATAAACCCCTCTGGCATTCCTTATGTCAAATTGTGTTATTTGGGAGAGGAAAATGTGGCCCACTTGCCAATGAATTTTTTCAGCTGCTTTCTGTCTGATTTCCTGCCCTAAATGCAAGCCGTATGAGCAAAATGTTTTACATGCAGAGGAAATCTGTGGTTAGGAGAACTATTTCCCCTCCTATACCTGTGATTCTTTCTTGTTAATCCTTTCATTATATTGCTCTCAGAAATTTTCATTCCAATCAGCATAGCCTTTTTGCTTAGTCAGCTGTGGCCTTGGAAATGGAAATAGTTGCCCTGCCCCTCGGATCATTGACTGTTAATCATTGTGAGATCCTGGCTGTGATCCCAGTGCAAAAGCTGCTACCAGTCTGGTAGATTGCATGCTGAAAAAGCGCACACTACCACCAGCAGCATCACCAACTGTTACCCAGTTTTTCCACATTAGAATACCACTACATCAAAGGAGAAATTTTTAAAAAATGAAGTCAAATTATCAAAACCAAGAATGCAATGAATATTGCAAAGAAAAATGTGACATTTTGGCTTATTTTCAGATTGCAATACTATAATATCCAATGCCACATTTATACTCTCCTAAATGATTTGGAAGAAATGTTTAATAATATAAACAAATTGTCCCCAATCACTGGGCCATGGCCCACTAGTGTGATGACCCAGGGCACAGCACAAAGGCAATGCAGACAGCTGGCAATGTAAACAGTTCTTTAATGGTTGCAAATTTCCTCCAAATGCTCCCACATTTGCTGGCAAGCCTCCAACCCAAATTCACACACTCACCTTCCAGCCAACTTTGGCTGAAGGCAGTTTCAATACAGTATGATTATTATATGAATGTCCTCAAGGCCATAAAGATAACAAAAAAAACAAAACATCAACTTAATGAGTCCACTTGAATCTCAGCTTGCCTGCAGAGTTTGCAAAGAGAAAAGTCAAAATGCAGTCTGAGGTCATAATTCAGGAAATCCATGTGGTCAGCCGGTCTGGTCATCAAGGTGTCCAGGTTTTCCAAAGGCACAGAACAAAAGCAACAATACACACTTTCCCAAGATTCAGCGTTTGTTCCCGACAAAGTCCCTACCTCACAGCGGCTCCTTATATCTCAATCCCCAGGTGCCTTGTGTGGTGGGGTGGGACGCTCTCCTCCCGAGCAAGTGAGCCTGCCTGCATTGTTCCCTCCTCCTCTCCACTCTCCTAGCTCTAGATGAGGTGGGGGTGGGCCTTGCTCCTCGCCTGATCTCTGTCTCCCCTGTTCAAAACCTGAAGGGCCCTGGCCTGCCTCAGCCTGCTCCTCCCCACAGTCGTCCGAAGCCACAAACACCTCTCCCTGGGCCTTGATAGGGTCCTGTTCCGGCTCCATTTCCTCTTCCGATTCAGGCTCAGACGGAGGCATGACAACTAGTGGGCTATGAGCTGTTTGCAACTGGACCACGTAAATGGTGGACGAACACACACATGCACGCATGCATCCCCATGTGTGCGAGCAGCAGGCGAACACATCTCCTCTCCCCCTGCTGCTGGTCCGCAAAGCCGGAAAGGTTGGGGAACTCTGCCTTAAACTCTAGACCAAACTAGATAAATATTCTTTGTTCTGTTCTAGGACAAAGAATAGACCAGTGGTGGCCCAGTGGCTAGAATGCAGTATTGCAGGCTAACTCTGCTCACAGTCTGGAGTTCAATGCTGACGAGGCTCGAGGTTGACCATCCTTCCAAAGTCGATAAAATGAGTACTCAGATTGTTGGTGGCAATATGCTAACTTTGCAAACTGCTCAGAGAGTGCTGTAAAGCACTGTGGAGCGGTATATAGGTCTAAGTATATAAGTCTAACTGCTATTGTTATTGCTGTTTATTATACTATTTCTTCCTAATTTTGTTTGGGGGGGTCTGACACCATCCTAAAAAAGATTTTGTTGGTATAAATGACATAAGATTTGAGAGGGGCATTTAGTTGAGATAAAGGGGGGGAGCCCAGATTCTTATATTTTTGTGCAATATGATCTAGCTGCAAAATCTGAGATCTTTAAATGATGCCAAATGCCAAAGTGAAGGGATAGGTTTCTCAACTGGGCAATTTACAGATGAAGCAAACTTTATTTAAGGCTCATCTAGCCATTGTTATATTTTTGGCACCCTCTCATTTTTCCAATGTTTAATAATCGATACATATGCTTATGTTTTTAATAGCCAACATGTTTTATTTACCACCTTTATTTTTGGCTGCTGTATTTTACATTGATAATGGCTCTGAAAAGGTTCCTCATTGAATAGCAGTGTCTAAAATAACAAATATTTGGAAGCAATGCCCACAAAGGCAATACATGAGATGCCCTGGTTAGTATACCCTGGATGTAACCCTATTGTTTGGTAACTTGAAAATAAAGTTAGTTGAAAATAAAGTCAGTTGTAATTGAAATCCAGCAATCAGCTAGTTAATACTAAAATAAAACATTCCTGTTTTTCTTTCTTTCAAAAATAAGGGGCAGATGAGGAAAAATTGATTTGGATTGGAAACACACATCTCTGCCACTTCCATCTATTGACAGTGAAACTTAAAGGCTGTTGTCTCTTTTTCAAGATCAGTTTTGCAACTATATTTGCAAAAGCCTGTATAATCCTATTACCATAAGAAACACTGATGCATTTTTGATAGTATGTTTGAAATGGGTGAGCTGTATCTTGATGGAAATTTTTAACCTCGTTTATTTCTCCATCTATACTTTTTCCTCATTTTATTACCATTTATCAGTGATTAAAATAATATTTATCCCCAATGTTCCTTATGAGGTAGAGGATTTTGATTCTTCTTAGGAATGAGAAAAATTAGAAGGAGTCTCGTAACATCTTTTCAAACTAGCATGTTTTCTTAAAAGCCATAATCCTCCACATGTTAAGAGTCACATTGTCAGATGCTTTTAGAATCCAAAACAGTAAACAGCAGAGCTAAATAATATTTCTGAGCCAATGAATACAATGATAACTTAAATTTAAAATTATGATATAGGCATTCTCACAAAATTGCTGCCATTATTGATGGAATTTGCCTGTCAGGAAAATGACTGTTTTTTGGAGGAATGACTAATCACAATCATTTGTATACCAGATGAATCAGCTCCCTGCCTGCATTTTAGTCCCTTAGGATGCTCTCTACCACCTTGTTTACATCTGTCCAGGAGACTGAAGGCAGAGAGGGGAAATTGGCTTTCTTCCAACAAACCATTGGAAGAAACCCATTCCAATCATATACCTTTTTATAATTGATTTATTTCTAGGGAAGCCTTTTAGCAACCTATGTATTTTTAAATAAAAATATTAATTCAAAAAGTTTTTTAAAAATAGCGAAGGAAGTCTTTGAAGAAAATTCTGCAGCATGTTATGGGCCATGTGACTTCTGTCAGTCAGAACAAATCTTATGCTTTTCCAGGAGGTGCCTACAGTTCCAGAAAAAGTACCACAAAGAGTCTCCCTGGCTAAGCCACGTAATGCCAGGTAGAAGTCATAGAGCTATAGAGATGGATAGCCATGCATCCTGTAGCATGGTGTCCTATTGAGAAAAGATTCTAGCAGACATTAGCTATGACCTCTTATGCTTATCTGTTTAAGCCATTGTTTCTCAATCTCGGCAGCTTTAAAGATATGTCAACATGATTGGATGGGGAATTCTGGGAGTTGAAGTTGAAGTTCACAGGTCTTAAAGTTCTTAAGGTTGAGAAACACTTATCTAACCTATCTGAAATATCACTGACAATATTTTCTCCAGCTCCACAGTTTACACAGTGAATTACAGACCAAAGCAGATTCATCATGTCTCTAAGAATGCAAGCCTTAAGGCTCCCAGTGCTGAAAGGAAGAGGCTAGGAGGAATGTGTATGGGTTCTGATGGCCTCATTCCCATTTGAAAGGCTGCTTAGGAACCAGACAAGCCAAAACAAAACATATGTTTCAGTTTATGCTGTGACAGTTCTCCTCTAAAAGCATTGTCGGGATTGTGCAATGGCTCTAAAATCACATCATCTTTGACTTCTTTGAAACTAAATTATCTTAGGGCAGGGTTGGAAAAGATACCATTTTCAAGGCATAATTTTATTTGTGCATTCCTGTCAGCAAGGGAACAGGAGGAGTATGAGGTGTGTTTGCTCCTCATTGCTAATTTCTGATTTTCTATTGTGTATAATCTGTTCCATATACACGCACACGATAGTAGAAACTCTTTTAATGGTAACCACTATATAAATTATCCACATCAAACATTAACAATTGTTTCACATGTTGTCATTTCCAAAGCAGCACTGTATTTCATCTCTTATTTTCCCTATTTACCCTTCCTATTCTCTGTTCTCCCAAACTCCATAAACTATGTATATAAACCTCGGGATTATAAATCTCATGCAATAAAAGAATTTCTGGCCTGGAGAGCTGGAGGATTTTACTTATTTTGATGAGTAAGACTTTGTTTATTAAAGTTAAGCAACTTATTTCTGTGTTTCCCATCCCTCAAAACAATCCTGCCTATTGTCACTGTCCCCCTCCTCCCCCACCACTTTCATTCAATTGCATTTATTTATTAAAACTTTCCCACAGGAACTTACTCCAGTCATCTAATGAAACAGATGTCATCCATGACAGTTTCAATAATAATAAAGTTGGTTTAACCTTTAAAGTGTCACAAAGCCCTCTGATTACTCATTTTTATTTCACAAGATTTGCCTACTTATCTATTTTTCTCTTTCTTCCCATTCACCAGGAGAACATTTGAGAATTTGCCCACAAGGTTATACTTGCTGTACTAGTGAGATGGAGGAGAACTTTGCCAACAAGAGCAGGAGTGAATTTGAAGGCATGTTGAAGGAGGCCACACGATCAGTACAAATAATCTTCACAGCCCAGTACAAGAACTTTGATGGTAAGGAATAAAGAATATATATAGTTTGGAATGCTAGCTACCCTCACATGTGGTTTTGTATCCATTTATTTTATACACATTCATTGTATTCTATTTAGAGTGTAAACAGAAATTAACTGCCCAGGCCAGATGAATGAGCGGTAGTAGGTAAGAAAACAAAAACAATTTTGGTCTAAAATTCCCCAACAGGGAATAAAATACGACAAAGCAGATTTAGTAATACAACAGATCTTTCTATATTCTGATAACAGTAGAGGTTGTAGTTGTAGTACTTTTTTCTCAGGCTAAAAGTACAAAAGTCAAGTGTACATTGAAAGTTTTCTGACTCGTTACAGGAAATGATATACATACAAATATATTTATATTTATCCCCATTTGCCACAGCCAAATTCAGAATCTGTTTAAACAGGATAGTGAATTTAAAATGTACTTGCAAAGGCATATATATATTTCTTCCTGTAAATATTACTTCCTGTAAATCAATAGTTAATTTAGTATCTTGACTAATTAACTGACTTCTGCCTTTTTTATAATGTAAGACACTCATACAAATCTGGTTTCTTGTCCTGGATGAAAGTGGAAGAGTGTTCTTGCCAAACAGATTGTCCTTGTAAAATATGTTTTATAGAATAATTAAATTTTTAAAAGCTGAACTATTGATTTTATCATTGAATTCCTGATTACAATATGTTTTCTAATCTCTGTTTTTTCTGTAGTTTAGAAAGTATTATTTTTATTTCTTTAATTTATATTTCTTAACATCTTATCCCAAACATGTGTGTATTCGGAAGCACAACATACTATTTTATCAAACAGTAATATATAAAATACTGTTCTGTCACAACTATACATTCTAATAGGGCCCATGAGGATATTTTTTAACTCCATCATGTTTTGTTTCTGCTTGCTTAACCACTGCTGCAGCTCTAATTTGGCTTGTGATTCAAGTAAGTCAAATAATGTAATAATATTTCATAAACAGATTTTCAGTGGCTGACAGAGCCATACTTTTCTTTCTTTACAGTCTGCTAGATACTTTAGATGGAAATAACTGGATACTAGAAGAGGAATTTTGGACAAACACATATATGTAAAACTCAAGGGAGAAGTCTACGCCAGACCTTTGCTCTTTGATGTGTGATCAGTATACTCAAAGAGTGGAGGGACGGCTAGAAGGCCAGATCTTCCATTAAGCCTGAGTCTCCTCATCTGAGACTCCTTGTCTTCTTGCACTGCAAGAAGAATCCATTACAATCTCTTCTATACTGTCTTTCTCCTAAACACTTAGCACAAGTCATCCCTTCAGGGATGTCCAGATCAAGAGATAGACTTCACAAGAAGATTAGAACTGTGTTTTATTGAGATAGGCTATAGTAACAATCTTGAAACTCTGCTTGTGTTTTCCCTTTTGATTCTCTTATACCCCCGAGAATGAGGGAGGACTCCATTTGAGTCGCTTTCTAATACCTTCCCTTTTCCCAGGGCTCAAGGCATGCTTCTGCACATTTTATTGATGTACTATAGTGATTTCTGAGCAGTTTTTTCCCCTAAGGTCATCTTCATGGTTCTCTACAGCAGGGGTCCTCAACCTTGGCAACTTTAAGACTTGTTGACTTCAACCCGGTTGAGGAATTCTGGGAGTTGAAGTCCACAAGTCTTAAAGTTGCCAAGGTTGAGGACTCCTGCTCTACAGCATAGTACATACATTTCCAGATTAACAATCTTAAATTCTACCAATTACCTCCATAGTAGTCTCAATCCAGATACAGAAGGCAATAAAATGGTTGTTTTAACCTTGCTTCCACACTGCTTTATATAGGTGGATTCCTTATAGCGTGGTTTAAAATACTCGTCTAGAAACAGTATTTTAGGAAAAAAATGTCTTCCAATGTGTTCTGTGATCTGTTCACTCTTCTTATGGCACCTGCTTGGAAAAGGGATTGGAAAAGGAAAGGGCAAAGGATCTTTAGCTAGTTCACTTTTTCTTTGTGAGGCTAACTTTAGAATCCAATGACATTAAGCTTTAGAAATTCTGACAGTATGCGATTAGTTTTTCCATGACAATGAATAATGGTTTCTTATAGGTTTTTTTTCTTTTTCTCATAATCATATACGTAAGTGGTTCATTTTAATAGCAATTAAGGCATACATAATTTACATAGTAATTAATAATATTAGCAGAAGCACGGAATGATCTTTTTTAAATGTGTTAAGTCACAAGTTGGAAGAAATTAATCAGATCACTGAATTTAACAGTTTATCTCTGTAATATTCAGTTAAAAAGGATGGATGGGTGAATTTGATAAGTGGATTCACAGAGATAGCTGCTTTTAACTTTTATGATAGGCTGATGTGGGTTTATAATTTTTTGTAATTTAAATAAATAGTTAAGATGATGGGAATTCTGAGCAGTTGCTGTTTACCAAGCTTTCCTAATCACATGTTCAGTAAAACAAAAATGCTATCTTAAAATAAAAATTGTAAAAGTACAATGTACTTTTTAAAATTTATCTCTCAAACTTATATATCAGTTTAGTCACAACCAACTCTAAGCAGTGCATGCTTTATAGCAGTAAAAAAAAAAAGGTTGAAACAACTTATAGCAATATCTTAACATATTAAACTTTGTCGGTTCCATTGTGTGGAAGAACATACTGTCAACCCTAACTAATCACTTATGGGGTGCATTTGGAGATAGATCTACATTCAGTCCCCAAAGAATTCCTAGAACAACCAGGTCTTAATAGTAACAGGTTAGGGCCTGTCCTAATCCCTTGGGGAGTGAGGGGCAATTTGATTCCAGAGAAGAGAGCCAGGTGCTTGCAGAAAGAAGTCAAATCTTATGTATCTGTTTTTTGTTTGTTCCATTAAATTATATTTAGATGCAGTATTGCTAACACATAAGAGCAGATCCCGCTGTCAGATCCCGCTCTCAGATTCATTGGTAGAGCAGAGTTCATTTAGGTAGCAACTGTGTTTTGATACCTCAGTTTCAAAGAAGTATTTAATTTTCTCAGTCATTGTTCTACTTTTTTATTTTGCTTTTTCATATCTCTTTTTGGGTGGGGAAGCCTAGACTTTTGCTCTGTATACGCAGGAGTAGCTGTACTTGTTCTCATCTTGCATGTACAGACATGAGCACAATGCTTTAGAATTAGAACGACATAGGATTTACCACACTGTTGTGCTGCTACTGTTGCTGATACACAAAAAGCAGCTCTATTATTGCCACTTAATGATGGTAAAACCATCCTGACAACTAGAGCTTATAAAATAATTCTCAAACGTTGGACAATTTTTCCTTTCCTGCTGGCAAATGTTTTCTGCCCACTTAGAAAGTAGAAATATTCAAGAGGCTACAGACAGTTCTAAGCTTAATGCTTATGTTTTCCTAGATTGTGAACAAATTTAGAGAACTTCCTGAAAGTAATTCAGTAGGATTATTGAATACAGTCACAAAATTTCTATAGTATGTAAAGCTGTAAATTAGTAAGAGAAACAATTGTGCCCACTTTAAATATAAACAACCCCCTCTTCTTTCCTCTCAAAAATTTCCACAAAAAGTGCTAAGTGTGCCCTCTGCTGGACATTGACCAGACCTTTCTATCGCAACTGTGCCATGCCCAATTAGTAAGCAACAAATTCTTAATTCTTTCCATTTAAGTTTGTATATTTAGAAGTAAATAATTTCAGTTGTACATGCACTGTCAAAAGATTGTTTGGAGATGTAAGTTATGGATGGATAGACAGGCAGATAGCAGACAGAATTTCCTAGTCATTGGGATATAGGCAGAAAATTTCCTAAGTTTGGAAACTTCTTAATATTTGCAAGATGATATATTTCCAGTAAAACTTTGCAATAATAACCTGGTTTTAATTTAAAATACAATTCAATTACCAGTATGAATAGAAAGGTAAGAAATTCAAAGAAAGCAAAGATATTTCCTAATTCTCATTTTGGCTATAATTCATGGAACTAAGCCTAGCTAGATGGCAGCACCTGATCAACCATCCCTGATCTCAAATTACACAGCCCTGACTTTTATTAATAGTGGAATAAAGAATCATCAGGATTCTTATCAAGGTTATTGGCCAGTTGGGGGGGCAGGAGGAGGAGGAGGAGCATTTCCAAGTTGTTGCTGAGAAACTTAGATGGACAGGCCCATGAAATTAAAAGATTTGTTTATTCTAGGGACACTTTACTTTTATATAGGACTAAGCTTTCAATTATTGCTTCAACTATCTCTCTGTGGGCAAATGTTACTTTATGAAATTTTCTTCTGTATATATTGGTAGGACTGAAGTTTATCCAACACTATACAAGCTGTTTGGATTTGTGCAATGAAAGTCCCCTGTCCTTCCTTTAGTAGTTCCCCCAATGCAAATATGGTTACAATGATCCTTCAGTTCCCTAAAGCAGTGTGCCTTAACGTCATCAACTTGAAGATATGTGGATTCCAACATCCAGAACTGGCTGGGGAACTCTTAAAGATAAAATGTATTTGGGAGAGTGATTAATAATTTGTACTCTTGGACTGATCATTGGATATTACTATACATGGTCCGTTAGTACATTTGGCATTTATCAAGATGAACACATTGAACAGAACAAGGCTGTTATTATATTAATCAAAGCTTGATTGTTAAGTCTTAAAAGTATTTCCCAGTTTCTTTGATTGTAATATTGTACTATTCCTCTCTCCCCACCATAGTTAACTTTACAGTATAATACCATAACTAAAGCTTGGAGCCAAGATACTTGTAATCCTTTTGAGAAAATATTAATTTGCTATTTCAAAAATATTCATGATTTCTTTAAAACTCTGGGTAATTTATAGGATATGCTAATGTTAGTCTTTAAATTTTAAAGCATTTGTAAGCTTTTTCATTCTAAATTACATAATTATATATCCTTAGCACAGTATTAGTGGATATAATTTTGAAAGCTTGTTTATTTTAAATTGATGAATGAAGTCATTAACAAACGAAATGAAGAAAGT